AAGCCTAGAGAAGCAAGCCCTAGTGACCCATGCTTAGGCTCGAGCAGACCTTGGCCTACACTCACGAGCTCAAGCACACCGGCCTCTATTGGTCGCATAGGCCAACCGGGCATGACCTTGTCCTTTTTTTTCTTCCTATAATTTATTCTATATCTTTAAAAGTCCGACCACCAATCTCATGATAGAATTAAAAAAAAAAAAGCTGGTTAATTATTTTAAATCTTGATGTGTTTTAGGATTGCATCACCAAGAGGTAAAAGAAAACCCTTAAAAGAATATACATATTATCATAACATAACTGGACCTCTAGCAAGTGTTGTACAAGTTAAGCGATCATATATAATTGGTCCCTTCACTAGAAAATAAAACATATATATTATTGGTCCCTTCAATATCCCCGAACCAATATTAATTATATCTTTGAAATTGATGTTAACATACATATTTGATTATTTTATTCTTATTGTTTAAAATTTACTTCTTAAATTATTTGTTTCTTATTAAAATTCTCATTAGATTAATTTTTTTATTTTTTGATATAATTTTAATTATTTTTTAATAAATTTTGTTTTTTAATATATGAATTTTGGAATAAAATTTTAGAACGTCAATGTTTTAATTTTTTAAAAATATATTATTATAATTTATACAATAAATTTTTTATATATTTTTCAATGAATGTTTTATTTTTTAATACACACACACACAACTAAAAGTATGTTTTAGATAGTTTGACTCATTTTTTTAAAAATAATAATGAGTTTAAAAAATTCACAATTTTATATATATATATATATATATATATATATATAGCATTTATCATAATCAATTTGGTTATAGTTTTTACTAGCATACATCTCGCGCGTTGCCGCGAGATGAGCTATACACCATTTTTATGTATTCATTCATATAAAATTTAAAGTTTAAAAATAATTATTTAAAGGTATCATGCGAAAAGAACTCAAAAAAAAAAAAGTAAAACATCTATTTCATAATTTGCAGCAGGATTGATTAAATAAAAAGTTTGCAAAGTTGAATAATACAATGTTGCTAATTATATATTGTTTGATATAACTAAAACATGTATAATAATTGATAATTAAAATAATAATGTGATAGTTTATTGAATTTTAAATGATTAATTTTTACCATATGTTATTCATCTATAATTTGTTAACGAGAGAGAAAAACCACTCAAAACAAAAAGACAAAAAACCTTTGTCAAATCGAGAATTTGGCAAAAAAAAATAAAGATAAAATTATACACGATAAAAATTAAATCATAAAAAAAAATACTTTCACTAAAAAAAAAATTTGTAAACAATAAGTCTAAAAAAAATTTCATTATGCATTAGACAAGAACAAAAGTAAAACATTATAGAATTTTAATGACCAAAATAAAAAAAATTAATAAAATAAGAATTAAAACATAAAATATTTTTTAATAAAAACAAAAAAACTTAAAATAGTTAAATTGTATTTAATTTTAGTGTAGAATGAATAATAATTAAATATAATAAAAATTTAATAATCAAAATAAACGAAAGATCACAAAAAAACAAAATCAAAATATAACAAAATTTTTTACTAACGTAAAAAATATTTTCTTCCAGGGAAAAAATAAATATAATAAAAGTTTAATGATCAAAATAAAAAACAATAACAAAATAGGGACTAAAAAAGAATTCTACTAAATTTAATGACGAAAATAAAGAAAAAATCACAAAACAGGAATTATAATAGAAAAAAAGGTTTCACTAAAAGCCAAAAATAAAAATAAAAAAAGCTTAGGATAGTAAACTTTATTTAGTTTTAGTATAGTAAGGATAAAAATCAAACATGATAAAACTTAATAACCAAAATAAAAACATATCACAAAATAGGAATAAAAAAAGAACATAAATTTTTACTAAAAGCCAAGAAAAAATATTTATTATAAGAATAAAAATCAAATATAATAAAATTTTAATATTTATTATAGGAAAAAAGTTAAATATAATAAAAATTTAATGATCAAAATTTAAAAACAAATTAGAAAAAGGGACCAAAATAAAATGCAATTTCCATAAAAGCTTGGAAGCTAGCAATCCAAACAAAAAAAGAAAAAAGAAAAGAAAAAAGTTGTAAAAGCTTGGAAGCCAAGCAATTGAAAAGAAAAAAAAAAAAAAGATGAACAATGAATGAACAAGTATAGTGCTACAATGGTTTTCCATTTTCTTTTAGTTTTATTGTAATATAGTAAGGATAAAAATTAACCATGATAAAACTTAATGACCAAAATAAAAACATATAAAAAAATAAGAATAAAAAAAGAACATAATTTTTTACTAAAAGCCGAGAAAAAATATTTATTATAGGGATTAAAAAATAAATACAATAAAATTTTAATATTTATTCTAGGGACAAAAATTAAATATAATAAAACTTTAATGATAAAAATTAAAAAAATTAAAAAAGGGACCAAAATAAAAAAAAATTCCTTAAAAGCTTGGAAGCTAGCAATCCAAAGGTAAAAAAGAAAAAAGTTGTAAAAGCTTGGAAGCCAAAAACCGGAAAAAAAAAAAAAAAAGAGATGAACAATGAATGAATAGTGCCGTGCCACGGTAGTTTTTCATTTTCTTTTAGTTTTATTGTAATTTTAATCTATTGACTTTAATATATTTCTACAATTTAGGTGGGTTTTTTTTTGTACATTTTTCTATTTATTCTATATACTCGAATATATATATATCATTAGTTTTGTTAGAAATTAATTATATATAGATTTGATTTATATTAATCATCAAAAATCAAACTTTCTCGCTCACATTACATCATATGAATTATTAACCCTACGTATTTAACGATTGTCCGTCTACAACATAACGCTAATATCCAACTAATAAGTACTAATAAAGCTTTGGCCAACAAAGGTTCCCAAAGACATATATATATATATATATATCATTAGTTTTGTTATAAATTAATTATATATAGGTTTGATTTATATTGATCACTAAAAATAAAACTTTACGCTCGCATTAAATCATATGAATTGTTAACCTTACGTATTTAACGATTGTTTGTCCACAACATAACGCAGATATCCAACTAGTAAGTACTAATAAAGCTTCGGCCAACAAAGGTTCCAAAGCTCATATTGGAAATGCTGTCGAATAAACTTGTACAAAGATGAGCCAAAAATTTGCCATTTCATCCGATAAAAAACAGCATGTGGAGCTTTATATGGATTCATTTCAAAACAAGCAATCCGAATTTCATCATTAAAGATATCAGAACCAAGAAATCATAACAATCTGTCTGACTGCTAGAAATAAACCTCCTGCAAGAGAACTTGTAGAATCAACAAAATCATCCATAAAAAGGTTTCTATAATAATTCCTACTAAGTAAAATGTCCTCAAATTCACTACGTTATTGCTATTCAAGATGACCAAAAAAAAAAAGAAAAGAAGATCATGATTCATGGATAATGTCCTCTTTACACCAGCCAGTCGAGCCAAAATTCGTCTCTTTTTTTTAATCAATTGCCATTTTGCCATCTCATGAACAATTAGTTACTAAGTTTTTTTTTTTTTTTCTCTTTCTAGTTCCTCAGGAATCAATCTATTAAAATCATCAGATGGGTTGGTTCAAACTCATTCATACGACATTTTGAATCGATGGAAGTAGAGCCACTAAAACTTATAACCCGCATAGTTCAATTTGTCAATTTCTGAATTTTAATTCTGCCTCTTTAGATTTTTTTTTAAGAAAGACAATAATTATATTAATAACCAAAGTAAATTTATCTCAGTTATGGATACAAGGACAATTTGAAAAAATTATCCTTTTATGTAAAGATAAATCATGTTTTTAATATAAAGCTCCAAATTTCATTTTTTATGATCGATTGGCTTCTTAATATGTTCTTGTCATATGGCATGGAAAATATGAGATTTTAGTGTTCGCATCAATCATCGTTCTGATTATTTAATTGGACATTATTTGATACTGCTAATTATAAAAGTAATATAGCATAATTTTCGAGTGGCTTTTTTCACATAAAGCTCTAATTCTATGAATGCAAATGTTTGCTATTTTGTTTAGATAAAACTTGTTCTTAAACATGCTTCTATTTGCGGTGGGTGGATATGAATTTCGATTTAATAAAACATGTGAAATAACTCGAATATTTTAAAAATATCTACTACCATTCTGGAGTATTGGTGTCTGGAGATATTTTCAATCACTAATGCATATCTCTTAGCGTAATATTAAAAAAAAAAACAAAAACAAAAAGATAGAACAATAGGTTTTAAGAGTTTAAGAACTAAAGTTTAGTCACGTAAAAATCTCATGGACTAAAAAGATGATTTTTACAAAATAACTGGTAGTGCATGTGTCCATGATTAAAAATATATTTCGTCCTTTTATATATATATATATATTTTTTTTCGCGTAGCCTTTTTACTATTTCTTTTTATTTATATAGGGTTTTTTATTTTATTTTAAACATTTTCCTTATATAGTCTCTCTAATAGGATTTTGATTAATTTTCTGACAACAAGTGATAGGTGGATTGAAACATAAGATAATGATAATATGCACAGAAAAAATTTAATTTTGAAAAATAATTTTTTTAACTCGTTTTACTATTATTTGACTTGGCAGTTCACCTGTCATTTTTTACTTGAAAATTTATTAGAAATTTATTGGAAGGACTTTATTAAGAAAATGTCTAAAATAAAAAGATCATTTAAAGAAAATATAAAAAATACAAGGACAGAATATGCAATTAATCTCATGCTCAATTTTCCAGCGTGCCACAACCTCAATAATTGATTGAAGGGCAAAAACTGTGATTAAACCAGATTTGAATGAAGACTGGAAGGAAAAACAAATAAAAGAGGAAAATATATTAAATGCAAATCTCTCTCCGGATCGAGGTCGACAACTAGCGTAGCGTGTCTGGTCTAGCTCACACAGTAACAAGTAAAGCAGAAGAGGGGAGAGGCAAAAATGGTAGCTGCTTATCTACTACTTGTATTTCCCGCCATTTTGTCACCTGTGCTGAGTCTCTCATCCCAAGATCACCAAACCCAACTGTACGAGGCCAACCTCAAAATCTCTCAATCAGGTAAACAACCCAAAATTTGCCTTCCAAAAGTTTCTTCAAATTTTGATTGATTACCTAATTAATATAAATGCAGAATCTCGTCTCGAGGAAATTACCCAAAATATAAATGCCAGAGACAGTTATTTGGAGAAATGTGAGGATGAAATTGGAGAACTAGACCATGAATTAAATAATCTGCAGTCTGCTCTCTCAAATTTAAAGGTTAATTTCTTGGAATACATCGTCACATAGTTTGTTTGGGAATAAAAATGCTAATATATTTGTTTTTAATTGTAGATTACTGATGAGAAGATTAAAGCCCTTGAAGAAGAGGTAATTGATAGTGAGTTTTTCTTTTTGGTTCATTAGAAGGTTAATTAATAATTAATTAGCGGGTTTTTTGAATAGTACTTGGTTGTTGATAATGTCTTGAATGACAGGTTCGGGTTTTGTGGGCTACTTTGAGAAAAAACAACTTTGATTTTCACGTTTTAGAATCGAAAGCGCGAGAAGCTGAGGATAGATTGGAAATGGTGACTTCGCAAGTTGAGAAGGTCAATACTCTTAACTCATTTTATTGTCGGGCATTTAGACTTTTGAGCACTAATTGTAGATATTGTCTGCATAAAACCATTTTGGTTTCCTTAAACTGCAGAAAAGAAAAGCTGTATTCTCTTGTGTTTTGTTCGATCTTCTTATTTGCAATTTTATTGTGTTATTCATGGTGAAATTGTGTGATTGGTATTCTAATCTGGACAATATTCCGTGGAAGTGAAAATGGATATCAAGGAATTAAAGTAGTTTGTAGAGGGAACCTTCAGAACCATAGATGCAGAATCTGGCTTTGGTTTATAGTCATTTGTCGTTTGCACTGTACTTTGAAATCTGCTGTATGAGAGTGCAAAGGAAATTGCCCGTGCTGGAAAAGAGAGTGCAATCATTTTTGGGGGATTTGAATTTAATTATTAGTCTTTTCTTTTGGGAAACGTATTTCTCTTGTTATGATGATGGTTTTTAAAGTTCCAGTTATTTATCCAAGTCCCCCTCTCCCTTCTCAATGTAGCATTGTTGTTATCATATTATACACAATTATTCAACAATTTTTTAAAACATAGTTTTTGGTTTTTGATTTTTGATTTTTGATTTTTTGTTACCTACAGATGGAAGACATAGTATCAGAAATGTGGATCCAAATTCAACAGTTTGAGCAGGCTCTTCAACTCAAAGAAGTATTACCTCGCAAAACAAATTTGGCCTACTGTTCACAAGGATTTCCAAAATTAAAGTTTGTTTTCTGGCTGAACGAGTCTTTTGTAATGTTCCCATTCTTTTTTAACAGATGAGATTGAAGGCTCAAAGACATGCAAGGCCTCCAAGATGGACTTTTTTAAAGGTAATGTCAAGATTTTTTTTGCCGTCTTGATCAATTTGTTGATATGTGTTTGGAAAAAAAAAAAAAATTAAGTTTTAATATCTTCCACATTATGAACAATAACAATGCTACTTAAAGACTGCGATGTCTCTTTTGCCTGATAAACTATCACAGATTTATTCCTTTGTGTGGATTTACAGTTCTTCAGCAACCTCTCTGGTGAATATCTTCCAAATGCTCATGGGCTGTTGAGATCACATTTGGGCGAAGAGTCTGCCTTGAGAGCTTATGTATCTCAAACCTTCCTCTGGTTAAAAAGATTCTATTCGATGGTAAAAGAGTCACACCATGAGGTTTGTACTAATCTACATGCTTTCATAATATTATAGAATGTTTTTTTGCCTTGCTGTTTCTATGATGAATCTCTCGTCAGCCACTCTTATGCAAGATGCCATGCTGTTTGAAGTTTTTCATTGGTCAAAATTATTTGTCAATGATAGGTTAGAGAGCTGATCAAATTGAATTTGACACAAAACAGTTAAGCCATTAAAAACTGGTTTTCTCATCCACAAAATGGTTGAGAAATAAGGTCTTTCATTGGTCAAATTGAATCTCTCGTCAGCCACTCTTATGCAAGATGCCATGCTGTTTGAAGTTTTTCATTGATCAAAATTATTTGTCAATGATAGGTTAGAGAGCCGATCAAATTGAATTTGACACAAAACAGTCCAGCCATTAAAAACTGGTTTTCTCATCCACAAAATGGTTGAGAAATAAGGTTGCGACTTCTGATAGATTGCAATTTCCTGGTTTTATGCAAGTTCTCAGTTTACTGAATCATGGTCCATGGATGTGATGTAAGAACTTTACTAGTCAATATTTGTTGATATGATATATCTGTTTATTTTGTGTTTCTTTCATTGAGCTTAAGTAGAATATGGTAACTGTTGCATCATCTTTACGTTGGCCAAAATACGATTGTTATTGTGATGAAAAATTAACCCTTATCATTTCAATACTTGTAGTTCCAAGGTGTTATCAAGCATGAAATGGAAAGACATGAGTTCACTGCCTGTCTTGCTAACAAGGAAATTGTATTTTTCGTGGTACTAGTGCCTATCCATCCCCTGCTCCCCCAGTCTCTTTTACATTTAACAAAAACAGCAGTATATGACACTGCATCAACTATTCAGCCCTTTCTAATGGAATCAAACATTTCTGTGAATTTGTGAAATCACAGGCTTCTGCTATAATCATCTTCCCTGTATTGAGTGCTTGGATATTGCTCTCATCACAGCTGCGCTAGTCGAGAATAGTTTCCTGCTATAGAAGTTTCGTAGCCTATTCTATAAACAGGAAGCCAAGGACACTCTCCAAGCAGCATTTTTTTACTTTTCTTTGCTTACTAGTTGTAAGCAAGAGAGAAGCAGTTTGCTCTGTGCCAATGACGTTTCATCTTCTTTGTGGATCACGATGGAGTTTCTGGTTCTTCTAGCAGGTTCCCAAGCCCAAATCAATTTTGTCAAATCACATAATCCGTATTGAGCCTAAACATGCTGCCTTTATTGAGCACACCAACCAACAATAACACCCCTCCCAACACCACCACCCCAAACACCTCCCTGCTCCGCAGGGGTTCTTGTGCTGAAGAATTCTCATTGATTCTTTATAAATATGACATGTAGGCAGGTCCGTTGGATAAAGGAATTGAAGGATGGGAATGATTTGGCACTGTTGGGGTTCTTTTGGATAAAGGAATTTTTTAGCATAATAATCTAGTTTGCTCCCATGTTGGTATACCTAATTTGACCATGATCATTTTCCCGAATTAGTTGAGAAAGTTTGGCTATATTTATTTCATTCTTTCGAATGATACGTTGTAAGACAATAAAAATCATATTTTATCCCTTTACCGTAACGTCTTTCTATCATTTTCATCATGATCTTGTGGTTAATATTAATTTCTTCTTGAATTATTTGATGTTTATGATTAATTTCTTTGTATTCTAATTTTAATTTTGCTTTTCTTCCTTCTACTGTCATGAGCTTATTAACCTGAGGAATTTTCTCCTTACGTGTCAATCATTTTCGAGCTCTATAAGTTAGCATTTTATGAAATGATTTTCTTTCTATCATAAATATGATTTTCATTATCATATTCTTCTTCTTGAAAATTACTTGGATAAAAAATTTTAAAAACTAACATTTTTTTGGAATGATATTTTTCCCATGAAAACTTTGATAATTTAGTATCACATTAAAAACATCATTGACAATCCCACCAATATTGTCAAAAGTAGTTGTGAATAAATCTGAATGACACTCTTAGTATGGCCGTTGATTTATGTTGGGGTTTTTTTGTATTGGTTTTGATAGTCAAGGACTTTATAACAAAATAGTGAAAATGATTGGGTGGATAGTTCACCAGGCAACCTAACTTTTAAATTCAAGTTTATGAATTGAATTAAGTATTTTATATACTTTGATATTTACTTTGGTGATTTGTTTTTTTTTTTTTTATCTTATGTAAAAAAAAAATATTAAGTGAATTAATTACCTTATGTGTTTTAATATTTACCTTAGTGATATTTTTGAGTTTTATCTTATGTAAAAACTAGATTAAGTGAATTAAACATCATTTTGCAAACTCCAACTAGAGTGAGCAATTTATCTAGCTAGGACGAATTTATCAAAACAATGAAGGGACAACTATATCAAAACAATGCTTTCTATTTATTTATTTTTTAATTCTAAATCTATATTAATTTTTTTTGTGGAATGATATTTTTAGTATTTTTTTTTATGTTATGCTTTATTGGATATAAGTAACTGAATAACACAATGAATTATATTTTGTGCGTGTAATTGTTATAGTTTAATGTGTATATTTTAGAAAATGAGCATTTTCTCGTAATGAAATTAGTTAAAACTAGGCTCCGTGCGTAATAAAATAAAAGATCAATTTCTTATTGACAATTTAGTAATGTACATTGAAAAAGAAATTGTTGAACTTTTTTGTTGTAATTCAATTGTTAATGAATTTAATATTTTAAGTGAGCGCTCGTAGCTACTTTGATAAAAATATGTGATATTAGTTGCATAATTTATTCATTTATTTTTAATATTTACTTTTTTATTTTTACGTCTATAACTACTATATATACAATTATAAATTTATTCATCTATCTTTATATACTCGCTTAAAGTCACCTATCTATTCTTAGATTTCCAATTGCATCTTATCTATCCCTAAAAATTTTAAAATGTTTAATCTATCATTTAAGTCAATTTTTCTGACCATATGAAATTTTTTAGACCGAAAATACTACTTATTGAAATGCAAATAATAATAATAAAATTATAAAGACTTCAAAATTAGAAAATGCAGACCATGCGACTTTAAGTTTTTTTTTTTTTTTAATGACATCTCAATCAATTTTTTTTTCATGGTTGAAAAAATTAATTAAAAAAACAGATTGAATATTTTAAAAATTTTTAGGAATAGATGGGTGGGAGGCAATTGAAAATTTAGGAACATATGAAATTAAAGATTTTTAGTATCATATAAAGATAAATGATATATATAATTAAATAAGTGAATAGTTGGTCTCTCTCAAAAATCTGAGTCAAACTCTGCCATTGTTGCCTAGTCAAGTTAGAATGCTAGATGCAAGATTAATTATTCACAAAAAGGATCGCTTTAAGCTATCAATTTACACTTTTCAAGTCTTGCTGCAATCAAAGTTTATGTTTTAGCTACCGATTATTGAAATCAAATAACAAACAAGTAATGAAAGTAAAGATTGCTAGTTTTAATAATACACAAGACTACTAGTAATGAAAGTAACATTACAAGTTTTAATAATATACAAAACTGAAAAGGAAATTTATATTCACTGATGAAAAATGTTACTTATAAACTAAAATCCTTCCTTCAAACATATTGTTTACGTAAGAATTCAATATTTAAGGATAACAGACATTGATTTGATTACAAAATGAGAACCAAATGAATAAATTATCAGCCTATAGATTTATTGTCTATTTTGATTACTATCTATTTGCTGTTGTCTACAAATTATAATATAATGATTTCTGTCTACTTACTTGCTGCCTACAATTCCATTATGATTGTTAGAAGAAGTTGTGAATAAACTTGAATGACACTTTCAGTATGGTCGAAAACGATAATTTTTTTTTTTTATGCATTTTAATGAAAAGCATTTGAATTAATTTTTTTTCATGGTAAAAAAAATTGATCAAAATAACAGATTAAATATTTTAAAAATCTTCAGAAACGAGATGAGATGAAATTAGAAATCTACGAACAAATAAAATATTTTGAATATTATACAAGGACAGAGGGTATATATACCCCATGTATATATATTGAAATGAATTTTGAATATATATTTCTTTTTAATGAAATAAGTGAATGGTAGTAGCTATTATAGTTTGCCTCCACCAAAAATCTAAGTAAAACTCTGCCATTATTGCCTCGTCAAATTAGAATACTAGTTGCAAGGTTAACTATTCACAAAAAGGATCTCTTTAAACTATCAGTTTATACTTTTCAAGTCTTACTACAATCAAAGTTTATGTTTATTAATGAAATCAAACAACAAACAAGAAACGAAAGTAAAGATTGCAAGTTTTAATAATACACAAGACTGCAAGTAATGAAAGTAAAATTACAAGTTTTAATAATGCATAAAACTGAAAAGGAAATTTATATTCGAAGATGAAAAATATTGCTTATAAACTGAAATTCTTCCTCCGAACACATTGTTCGCGTAAGAATTTAATATTTGAAACGTACAAACATGATTTAATTATAAAATGATAATCAAGTGAATAAATTACCAACCTATAGATTTATCGGCTGCCGATATTATTTTTTATTTTGATCACTATCTACTTGTTGATGCCTACAAATTATAACCTAATGATTACTATATATTTGATACTGCCTACCATTACATTATGATTGTTAGAAGTAGTTGTGAATAAATTTGAATGACGCTGTTAGTATGGTCTGTCATTTTATGTTGAGGTTCTTTTGTAGTTCCCCGTGCTCCTGTTGCATATTCACAAGTAAATAGTCAACGCAGAGAAAATCATAACAAAGGCTAATTTGCTTCCTTGCGAACTGTGATGATTAATATATGCCTCTTGATCGACTTGTTTCTTAAATTCACAGATTCGTAACTTCCTGATATTCTAATTGTCATACATTTTCATAGCTTGATCTATGCCAAAGCTAACCATCCAGTTTATTTGCTTTATTTCAATCCAAGTTATTTCAGGAGTGATGGTACTCTTTTATCTTAAGCATTTGCTTATCCCTGCGCATAAAAGCACCACCCGCTTATCCGGAGATGTTATGGTAGAGACCATAACCTATGGTGGAGTTTCTTTTCTAATATGGATCCTGCAAATATTTTGACAAAAAGGCCATTTTGCATAGAATTTAGCGGGCCTGGCTCCACGGTAAATAGTTTCAAGCATTTTCTTCCTGGGTTCTCCTTATCCAAATCTCAACCTCATCCTCAAGAGTGTGGTCAATGAATCCATGGAAGACACTACATGGGAGCAGAGACTTCAAGCCCTAACCCATATTCTAACCAGCCCCACAACCACACCTCCTCTATACTCTCAGTTCTTCATCTCCACACGAATCCCATGCTATCTCAAATGGGACTATCCACCTATCCTCTGCACCAAAGACACAAAGACTTTCCCTTCTCTGCTTCTAAGGTGGGGATTCTCTCTGTTTCTCAAAAGGGTCTCCAGATTAGGATGTCCTGAGACTTCTTGGAGGTCCAAGTGCCCATACCAACAGCCCCCACCATTAATTCTTGCAAAGGGAGTGGAGGAAGCACAGTGGGGTGATGAACAGAGAAGAGAGTATGTTAGAAAGAGGCTTAGAAGGAAAAAACTTGTTAGTAATGTTAACCCTCTGATTCCTATTTTAGTTCCCAATCTTTTATTGTTTTCACTTCTGCTGTGGAACCCATTTCCTGATCTTGATTCTTGAGAAATATTTTGTGGGTTTGTAACATGCATTTGTAAGTAATCTTTCACCCAACAGCAATTCTGGGTTTGTTATCATCTTTAATTTTGGTACTTGAATTCTGATTGTTTCTCCAATTTCTTCTCTCTCTGTCACTCGTATTGTATGGTTGGATTGACCTGGGAAATGAAAGGACCAGAACCATTGATTCCATCCACTAAAATATGTTGGTGAACCATCAAATGTAAGCTAGAAACACGGAGACAACTAAATTTCCACAAAAATAAATATTCAGACAATTACGAATATCCAAAGAGGCTCCATTTTGTTTTTTCTTACATGACTTAAAGTCAGGCCACTTGGTAGCTAGACGGTATCCTAAGCCTAATGGGACTTATGGTTAGGACTATTAAGTACTAGTGAACTCTCGATCTAATACAAAGTTTGAGACTCAAATGTACTTTCAGGCTGGAATGGATTGGCAATAGAAAAAAATCAAAGGAAAATGATAAACGTTGGATACTTGTCTTTTACCCTTCTGATTAACTTGTTCTCTTCTTTTACTTTATTTGTTGTTTTGCTTTTTTCCTTTTTTCCCACCTTAGACTGCCAGTAACCACTTTGACAAGCTCCTTCCCTCCCTCCCTCCCTCCCTCCGCTAATCAAGGAAGAAAAATCACTTATATAAAGAAAAAGAAGAAAAGGCAAAATCAAAACTCTTTTTGCCTTTAATTGATTGGTCAAACCACTAGCGTTGACAAATGACAATGGGCCATCTACATTACATATTGTAACTTGTAAGGATCTGGATCTCACTTGTGGTGAAACTTGGAACTGTTTCCCTTTCTTCTTCTCCCTCTAGGATCCAGCTCTCTACTAGCCAGCCATTTTTCAATCATCATTTATTGTAAAAACATACAAGCCCTTTACTGGAACTCTCTGTGTCCAATCTTTTACATGCACCCTCATGGTCATCTACTCCGATCCTTAAAGCCAATATTCTTAGCACTTGGTGGAGCCTGGAGCCATGGATCATTTTTTCTTATTTTCTTTTGGGAGTAAATTTTATGGAACTATGTCAATGCGACTAGTGATTACATAGGTCATAAAATGAAATTCAAAGGAATTAAGGTCTTTCTTTTTCTTTTTCTTTTTCTTTTTTGACTGCTGCTTGACAAATGTACGAAGCACAGAAGCTTCTTTCCCTTTACCTTTTTTCCCCTTAACCACATGGTATCACATTCTAAGCTTTGAAAGGGACAAGGTGGGTTTCCTTTAATTTTATTTTCCCTTTTCCTTAAGCTCTGGTTCCTGTCAAATTCCGGAGTTCATTGAGAACTAGTGACAGGAAACTTCAAAAATTAGAAAGAGAGTGGTTAAATATGGGGTACAATTTCTTAATTTGTTACAAAAAGTGTTATACAATATTATCTTTCAGGACATGTACAAGAACTAGACTCTCATCAAAGCAACACCAGAAGGACATATACCATACATTAATAATAGAAATATATTGGAGTCATCCTTTGGTTATGTGCAATAAACAAACTTGGACCCTTTCTCACCAAATATTTATCTCGCAATAACAGAAACAACTACTATTAAGTAGTATCAGTATATATATAATATATATCGAGCCTTCCCATCAGCAAATTTAGTGCCAAAAGTTGCCTTAGCTGTCCTGTCACCATGTTTAACACAAAGACTATAAGTATTTGTATCGATGGATGCATGTAAACCCCAGGAAGATGGCCCTCTAATTGATTAATGGTTAGTAAAAAATACAGAAATAAAGAAGTTGCTCGGTCATAAATAACACCCTTATCTTGCATATGATTTTTAATTTGGATAATAAAATCTATCAATCCAACAGATGATTTTTTCAAAGGCATCCACCTAACTGATGATAACAAACCAACTGTCCTCTATGACTTTGTGATTGATAAAAGAAAATCTTAATTACCTTCACATTAATTTGAAGCATGCGTAAAACCTTTTTGATATTTCATATTATTGTGAACCGTCTTTCGAAAAATTATCATGTAATTCATAAACTGTAGGGAGATATATAACATTAGGGAATGGCTACACCAAAAGATTTAGGGAATAAAGGAATGCATTCTCAAGTCTCAATATACAAGGAAAATGATATATATAAAGCTGCTCTATTGCAGTGGCGCATGCAAAACATGAATGGTGGTGTCAATGGGCGTAGTAAAAGGGTTTGGTGTGTCTATCATCAAATTAAAGAAAGTGAAGAGGGCACATGCTGTCTCCACTAAATCGCATTATTTGCTTTGCCCCACCCACCACAATCTACGGCATAATTACTCGGCCATAGCTAGAAGATTGTCATACTCCTTTTCATCTTTGAAATAGCCGAAGTGCCCTTCACATTCAACCCCGTTTAGGAATGGACATGAGCATCAATAAAGAAGGCTAATTTATTAATGTTAAGTCTTCACTTCTTGGATAATCAGCTACTAGCTAGTTAACCACTTCTCTCCGTCTGAGAAATTTCTTTGAGATAAACCCTGGATTCTTTATGGCTCAGGGCCCATCGTTACCTGAATATAATCTTTTGAAACATAACCCTCAATCTAGTTTGGTTTGCTTAGAAGACAAGATTCAAAGATTAATGGATAGTTAGCATAAATACAATATTACTAGTATTTTATTTGAATTAGTATGAGATTTATATAAAGTCACATGATCAGCTGATCTTAAGTTTGGTTTTCCATGATGGCTTTCATTAAATTATGAAAAAAAAAAGACATTTAAGAAGTTAATTGCTAAAAGAAAAACAGCCATGATTAACAAGAAACATAAATTACCTAAACATAAAGAAAAACAAGCATGATTAACAAGACACATAAATTACCTAAACATAAAGAAAAACAAGCATGATTAACAAGACACATAAATTACCTAAACATAAAAAAAAAAAAAAAACAAACATGATGAACAGGACACATAAATTACCTAAACATAAAGAAAAGAGTTATTTTGTTAAAGTTTCTTCTCAAGGAGGGACCACAATCATCACCGGTTCCCTCCATTTACACCTAAAGAGTGGAAAAAAAATGCTGTCCAAAACATTGGAGAGAGAGTGACTGAAAGGTCTTTCTATATAAAGTTTGCACCTTCACAAACTCTCCCCAGCTCCACTATAGACTAGAGTGATACACAGCAAACTATTCTGTCTTTAGCCATGGCTATCTCTCCAAGACTCATTTCCATTCTTTTTCTCTTAACCATTTCCTCTATGCAAATTCATGCTAGAGAGGGCCAGTTCTTCAGCAAAGTCAGTGCCACCACCACTACACCCAGCACTACCACCATCAACAGCAACAATAACGCTCAAGATAAAACACTCCCCAACAAAGGAGAAGAAGGCTTGAACAAGCAGGAACTAGATCCAGCCTTTATGCCAGACACCCAAAATGGTTATGGTCTATATGGTCAAGAATCCACCCAGTTCCCCACCACCACTAAACTAGCTAACACACCCTACACTACAACCACTCACCAGCCATACAAAACCCAGACCCAAACCCAAACCCAAGAAACCTACACCAATTATCCAACTTATTCCACCCCCAACACCAACACCAAATACTACAGCAACAATCAATACAGCAACAATGCTTACGAGGAGCATCAACAAAACTTCGGTGAAACAAGCCTTCAAGAAAGAGAATACTCCAACATGGGGAACCAGAACAACAACAAGTACTACAACGGTGCTAATGGCTACAACAATGAAGAGAAGCAAGGCATGAGTGACACAAGGTACTTGGCAAATGGAAGGTTTTACTATGACCCCAATAATGGGAACAGTAACCACAACCCAAATCAGTACCAGCAGAACTCAAGAAATAACTACAATACTAGAGGTTATTACAACAACAACAACAACAACAACAACAATGAGAACTCCAATTACGAGTACAACAATAACTCTATGCAAAAGTACGACAACCAGGACGATTTCGAATGGAGCCAAGAAGAGCAGTACGTGCCATGATCATTCTAATCTTTTGGGTCATGAAGGGAAGAAAGTGAGGTCTCTGTTCAATTACAGTGGGTGGTGTTTTTAGATCATGTTGAAGTATGTTTAGTGGGAAAGATAAAACTATATAAATTTATTTCTTGTGGTCTTCTTTGTGTTTTTACTCGTGATCTTGTTTTACTGATATCATATTGTTAGTCTTTCATCCTTCCAAAAGTTAAGGTATGAGAGTATGGTTTTTTTTTTTTGGTTAAAAGTAATGATCCAATAAAGTGTATATTGTACTTAATATATATAGCTCTTCTGTTGCTTTAATTACAAATTAATTACATAATCTATCCATTATTAGGATTTAATTATGATCCAAAGTGAAAATTATTAAAATTTTGAGGATATATATATATATATATATATATAAGACTAGCATAAGTAGTAATTAAATAATTAGGACTTCAGTGAATTAATATCCCTTGATTTTATAAATTAGGCACAACTCTTTACAAACTGGTAGGATGGGAGGTAGTAAACCAGTTCTAATACTGCATTAGAGAGTTCATAAATCCAATCCAACATATTATAGAAAATGGAAGGCATTTTGATGGGGGAAACCCCTAAATATTGCCTTCTTTACGGTACTCATATTTGAACTAGTCCCTTAATCCTCCGTCAGTTTCTCATCTCTTTCAAGTTTCAACTAATTAAATTGCTTGAAGTCTATTAAGATTCCATCTTTCAAGCTTTCTGGGGGTCCGTACATGAACCCTACTTTACCTGCCAAAATAATCCGAACTCATCCTTTAATAAGACAACGACCATCTTCCTGGATTACATGAGAAGACAGTTTCAAATTTATGGCGCAAAAAGTTGCTGCCGGAACATGTCCCTTTGTGGTACCAATTCGGTTGGTAAATACCAATTGGAGTTTAAAATACGAAATGGCACTAGCTCATGCATTAAATTAATTAACGATAGCAGAAGAGTTAAATGCTACGAAGGTTTTAATATTTTGGACTTCATATAAAGTATGGTAAATTTGCAAATCCTCCATACTGTGGTGAATTATGACCACTTGCTATGTTGCTAAAAAGTGGTTGTTTGATCATGACTAGCACATACGCACATGCAATAAGCTAATTAAGATTGCACCACTGACTTTCTGGGTTGTGTTCGATCTGTCGGGCACTAGTTAGCACTATTTTGTGATTGTATGTATCGGATAATACAAGTGCTTTCTTCACTAATTAAGCCATCCACTTTATTTTTCCTTCAGGTTGGGAAACCGTCCATGTCTTGGGTTTGTCAATTCGAATCCCATTTTTCAGCAGGGAATGTATTGAAGGATTGGAATTAATTTCCTTGTATCTAAATGCGAAGTGATTGATTTGTTGTGACAAGAAGATGAGAATGGATGAATATTCTGTGATATGCACGTGTTCCTGTAATGGTACATTTCTTGCTTCTTTTCTATTCAGTAATGAGATCATTGAGATGTGATATAAAAAAGAGTTGGTAGAGCGAAATAAATTATAATTATTTAAGGAAATGTTTTTGTTTCTGAGTCTACTAGATTTTCTAATATACTTTCCATCTATGAAAATACATTAAATCAAAAATAAATAAAAATTTATTTAATTTTTTAATTAAAATTTTATATTTAATTTATTATTTTTTTATATTTTTCATAAATTTTTTTTTATCAAAAAAATTATTTGATACTATAAAAAATGTTAAAACCAAAGGATTCTTAGTTAAAAATTTATTTTCTAATTTTTTTAAATATTTTTTACCTTAAAATTTTGATTAAAAAATAAAAAGAAAAAAAGATCAAAGTGATTAAAATAAAATAAAAAAGAGGGACCAAAAGCAAATAAAAAATATTTACAAATTAAAAAAATAATATTTAAAAAAAGAGATCAGAATGTAATGTCATAGAAAACTTTCATAATAAATATTTTAAAATATTTAAAAACTATAAAAATATCACTCGCTTAATAAAAAATAAATCTGAATGAATAGCATTTTAAATAATAAATAAACAGTAAACTATTGTTTTATTATAGATATTAATTATGTTCGTTTTATATACTTGATCGAATAAAGAAATATTAATCCCAATAATTTGGACCTATACGAAGAACATTTAGAGAGATATTGCCTTTATATCTTACATGTATGTTAACTGGAGTAATTTTAAGTTCGTCAATGGCAGAGGAACAGTACTCACAGTACGATCTATACTCTCATTTTGTGTGCTAATCTAGCTATTATAGGCAACTGGGGATTTTTAGTTAATTCACATTACCAAAGACCATGTGAAGGACACCAAATACAACAAAAAACAAAGGTCATCACCTATGCTCACCTACTTTGGTTACCATGAGAAAATGCACACTATAATGCATAATCTAAGTTACCTAGCTGTAGCTTATGGGTTAGTAGAGCCCAGAGGCACATTTCGTTTTTTGTCCCCAGCTTCGTCAACTTATTACCCTCAATTTCAGCTTTCTAGAGAGCTAGAGGGATCCACCAAAGAATGGGCGCGGTGATTAAGTAGTTGGTAAACCACTGGCATAGCAACAAAAGATTAGGATCAAATGGTCAGGTTGCTTATCTCCGTGAATGGTGGGAAGACTTGGCTTTGTTTTTCTACTTTAATTTGCGCTCTCAAGTTTTGAAGTCTTTCCCCCTTTTTGACTTATTGAACTTTCAGACCAATGCCTGGTATTTTTTTGTCATGTTTAGGTGAAGGAAGTTCCAAGACCTTCACTCACATGGTAGAACAAGTACTTGTGGAAAGATCCCACATGTCTACCCCAACTAAATTGGGACCATATGGGTACTTTATCTTTATGAATATGGAGCCCCATTTCACCAAGATTCAAGAAAATTGGGAATCTTTAATTGAAGAAGGAAGTCATGATGTTGGGTATGGATGGTGAATATGGAGATATATGGGTGAATTGGCAGATAGGTATATAAAGTAAGGGAAAAACAATAATCACACCCGCCCCTTCGGTTGTCGCACCATCACCACCATTTATCTCTATCATTATAGTGTCTAGTTCCTGAACTTGTTACAGCACTATAATTATTACCATTAAATAAGTTTACATAACAGGCTAACTGGATATTTTAATGGGACAGTTCACTGATTTCAGTGCTAGATGGCCACTATTTCAATGATGGAACTGCCATTGGATCACCATAAATTTTGGAGGTGCCACCAAATGGTTAGCTTTGGAAAACAATATGATCAAATTGGCTATAGGAAAAATCAACTAATAACAATTGCATATTTGAGTCATTTCTCTTTCTCTTCGATCTATTATATGGTTTAAGATTATAGATCAGAAAACCACGTTTCCCTCTTTTAACATTTTCTCAATTTTTTGCTATCGATATACCTAAAAAGGAAAAAAACAGTAGATCCAACTAATTAAGTATGATACGTGGAAAAACGACTTCTACATCCTTAACATCCCACTCGGGTAAAACCCTTGAAGCTTCATTTCTTCTCTAGAGTAACCCGGCCGGACCAACCATTGGAAGCTTCTCTTGCTAACATTCAATAGTTGGAGTTTCTACTAACCTATTGCAACCGAGGGGGTTAATTCGCATAAAATATTTTTCTACTCCTTTGATTTTTTTAATATAATTTTTATATTTTTTTATTAATTTTTTTCTGTATTTTTTAATTTTTCTTAACATGGTTTTTTTGATTGTTTTTCCATCAATTTGTCATTTGCAATTGACATCTAGCGGAAAAAAAAAAAAAAACTTCACATGGTGTGATAGATCGGAATTAATTTGCCATGTGAATAAAACCCAAAAATTCCATTTTGTTTAAGAGAGCTGAATTTGACCAGGAAATGATGAGTAAATTATAAATTAGTCTCTCTTATTTTGAGAAATAAATTAATTAATCCTTCTCATTTTAAAAATTAATTATTTAGTCTTTATGTTTTAAAAATCTATTTGTAATTTAGAACTTTATGCTTCTTTTTTAATTTATTTTAATTTTTTGTTTTAAGAAATAGAAAAAGAAAAAAATATAAAAAATATGGAAAGAACGATGAGAAAATAAGAAATTTTATAGAATAAAAATAATATTAAATTAAGTATGATCAATACTGATTAAAAGATTAAATAATAGTTTTTGAATTGAGAGGACTAATTAATTTACTTTTTGAAACTAGAGGAACTAATTTATAATTTACTAAGAGCATACATTATACGTTTAGCTGTCTGCAATATCAGACACAACCTTCTGGCTACCGCTGCTTCTGCTTGTGCATTCAAACACCAACTCTGACTATCGTTCTTTCTTAACTTGGCAAAAATTCTTTTTCTCTTCCATTGTCTCTGATGTAATAAGTATGATCAATGTGTGATATTGTTCATCTACTTTAAGTTGTCTATGCATATATAACACATCTTCTCCTTGGATCCAATTGAACTTAGATTCAAGCTGCTTGATTACCAACTTTAGTGGCTCAAGTTATTGACTGAGGGCCAGAACTTTCTCATTCCTCGCCTGGCAAAGTCAAACGGATTAAATACACGTCGTGTTTTTGTATTATTTTAAAAATATTTCTATAATATCTTTTTTCAGATATAATTCTTAACAAATCTTATAATATTGGACATCGGTGAAAAACAATCCTTCATTGATTTTTTTCATCAAATTGATCAATTTTTATTAATTGATTAACATTTGACCAATTAAGTGTCGATACATATATGCTTAAAGGTAAAAATATTATTTTTTGAAAATTAATTTTATTTTTTAAAGTTAAAATAATTAATAATTTTAGAAAATTATTAGAAATTGGAAAAATAAAGAATATTTTTTAAAAAAAATAATAAAAAATTCACTTTTTAATGATTTTATAATAAGTATTATTAAAGAAAATTTCAAAACATACGGAAAGAGTTTTTTTACAATTTGCAATTATTTTATAATAATTATTAATAAATTTTTTCTCAATTTTTAATATTTAAAATAATTATTAATA